TAATAACTTGAATAGTAGCTTAATAAATTTTATGAGAACTATCAGCTTCATGGGACATTTGAAAATACAATCCCTCAATAATTCCCTAGTGAACGGCTGATATTACTTTTCTCTACAGCCAAATACTTTGTCAACTATAAGATATCAATTTGTGCTGACAGTGTATTCACAAACATTTGGGCTTTAATGTTATAATAACTGTAATATTGTGATCTACTGCCGCAACACACAACGATAGATGTTTAAATTACAGTTCGACATTAATTAATGCACTAGGATTATCAAAATGCTACCAACAAGTTGTTTATACCATGTAAATCCGCAAATCAGGTTTCTTTTAGATGCTTTTTAAAAGCCTGATGTTAAATTTATTTGAAGATGTTTCTTTTTAAAAAATTTCGAGAATACAAAACATAACAAAGTTAAATCTTATACAATTCACGAAATTCTCAGCTCACATTAACAAATTTTCTTTTCCTTTTAATTCCCATTGCTCTTCATCAGTAATATCACTTAGAATGCTTTGACACATAATTACAACAAAAGCAATGTTATCCCAGTGTCTTTATTGGAATCTCATCATGTGATAAAATATTTAAATAGATTGCATTTGATAAAATTTGAATAATTAAATGTATATATAATTTGATTGAAAATGGATACGAATTTTCCACAGATACTTTGGACAGTCTTATTAGGCAATTAGCAGTAAACTGGAATACTTATGAAAACAAATTCTTCCTATATCCCGTCTCGAAATACAAAAACTGCATCACAAAGTAATATGCTATAATTTTTTTCACTTATGAAATTCTACTTTGAAAAAAGAAGCTTTCAACTTCAGCTAATTAACTGTTAGCTTTTAAATGAAGATCAAAATTTACGAATAAATAGAAATTAATGGAGGAAATGATTCTATAAATTTCCAGTAATGTTAGGATGAAAATACGTACGAAGATAAATCAGGCCATCATAAACAAAACCCAATGAAGTACACTAAATTAAATAATAGTTCAAAACAACGTTGTATTGAGTAATCTGGATGATCAGAATAAATGTGAGTTGATATTGATTCAACTCGTAGGTATAAAAATGTAAATGTACTAGGTAATACGATTTACATAAGACTTACTATCCCAAACAACTGTATGCTAATACTGTTAGCCTCGTGAAAACGGCCAGCTTTTCGAAGCCATTTCGGAGATTCTGGGAGAAGCCATACGAGAATTAGTATGACGCTGGAGAAAATGGTATTTATTAGGGCGATTTGTTCCCAGAGTGTAAACATAGCCATGAAAAAAGATATACAAATCCCTGTGACTATTCCAACTTGAGGTAATGAACCAACTATACCACGAATTTTACTTGGAGATATTTCTAACATATATGTGGCAGAAGATGGAATACATAATCCCGCCCCAAATCCAGTTAAAAGACGACCAAAAACAAATAAATTTGTTGGGAAGGCATTTTGATATATTACGTCAGAACATAGATACATCCATAACCAGCCTAACACAGTAGGAATACAAGATACCAAAAGAGTAAAACGTCTTCCAGCAGTTGACAACATACGCGCTGATAGCAACCCGCCTAAAAGACCACCAATGTTCAATGAACTGGCGAAAATCGCAGATTTCCAGATCGTAAAGTACACTTGGAGAGTGCATGCCGAAGAAAAACCGAACGCTAAACCTAAAATTTAAAGGATTACAAGTTTGTAACTGTCAAGTCTCGAATGCAAGACGTAAAATTACATCTAATTACACATAAGAACATAATATATCATATCTTCATGTATCTGTAGATAGACGATAATTCAAAGTCAATCAGCTAAATTATGCTAGGTTGTCTTAAATCTGCATCACATATAGGAAAATGATGACTCAGTATCTAATAGATTCGTCATATTTACATAAAATTAGCAGAATAAGTAGTTTGCATAAATGATGACTTAAATCAGGTTTCAAGAATAAATACATAATTTATCAAACTCATGGTAAGAAATTGAGGGTAACTGACGAAATTTACGGGAATTCGGTTGGTGTCGAAAGTGACAAACTGATTAAATATTCAGTAACCTGATATAAAGACGTATTGAACTTCAGCTTATGCAAATGACAATGTTTCACTGTACTTAAAATAGCTGACGGAATCAAGATATTTAGAGCTTTGTTCAAATAAGGTGAACAATTTTCTTTTATCTTGTATGAACTTCACATGAAGAAAACACATGCTGGAACTATAACAAGTTTTCCGTAAATTAGTCTTTTCAAGTATCCACAAAACTACCCGGAATACTTTGTAGAATAGTATCAACAATCAGTCAGCACTGTCTCCCTAACTAAATCCACATATATATACTTCCGTTCGGGTCTCCGTTTTGATATAGTAATTACTTTGCAGTTTTAACCATCCAAAGTGAAGCAACTTCAAAAGATTTCGACCAGTAAACTCCGTATATCTTCCCAGCAAATTTCAATTAATTATGAGGATCATTTAGTAGTACGGTGTCCTCAAGCTTGATATTAAAATAAAGCTTTAAAAAGCCCGTGTTTGAGGAGAAAATGTATGGAAAAAACAACACTGCATTTGACAACTGAGAGTCGCTTGTCAAATTTGTACATTCAGTAACAATAGAATTAGAGTTAGTAAGGTTTTTGAGAAGTATGGCATGTCGGTCATAGACTTCAAAACATTCTGTGACACCATATCAAGAGGAACTCATACACAAAGGTTTTATGATTTATGTTCAATTAACACGAACAATTACCTTGTCCACAATCGGGATTGATATATGGGTGTTAAAAAACTAACACGTCATCTTTATACTACATATATTTAGCTTTTTTAATGTGGACGTAACAGCTTTATGTGGTGTGTTCAAAAATTATTAGGTTATAAACCCGATAACAGATGCCTATAACAGGAACAGTGTGAGAAACAAACTGAAATTCCATCAGAAGACATAAATTTGTTCAGATTTTTATTGCACTTAAAACGTTGTAACTATTTCAGGTTGAAAGCGGCTTATGATTTTTATATTAGAAACGACTCATATTTGCAAAACTGTACTTTGTCCCACCAATTTTTGATTAATAAAAAGTCATGCTTCCTGGTTTCAACATAACTAATAGAAATCCATAAAACTTAGTAATCTATACCGCACAATTTTTGATATGCATTATAAAGGTCTTACGACAATTTGAGGAGCTACGACGATGCCCTGGTACGGGAGAGGGTTGAGAGAATCAGCTCTCCTCAAAATGCTATTACATAGCCATGCGTATATAGTCTCTGCCAGGAAGTCCTACTTACTGCCATCTCGTGGCGGAGGTACTGTTTACGAAATTGAGAAAAGCGAACGTCCGGCGCTTTAATCGGATTGGTGGACTCGGAAAGTCCATCTAGGAGGTTTGAAAAACCCTGATTCCAAACCAATGGTGTACATGGGCTCCAGTATCCTGAAGGAAAAATGGCGTATGAACCGATTATTGGTCACCGGCTACCATGAGAATGGATCTCCTAACGTTGCTCCACAGAATCGTGGATTAGACCTTTAGGTCAAAGGCTCTGGTTGTGACCCCCTGAGAAAACCACCTGCTTCCGTTTGGACACTCGGACACTATCAAAACTCACAGAAAAACCAAGCAGCTTGTGTGGCGCATATGTATCTGGTGCCCCTTTATACCAATATTTGTGTTCAAATAAATAACAACACTACGAGTATGCTTGTATATCTTGAATATGTTTGTTGTTTGAGATATCGAGTTATTTTTACATAAGATATTTTGTCTGATTCACATAACTGGAAACAATTATGTGTAGAATTTACGGAATCGTACAAATATTCCGTTAAGAGCAAGACTTGACATTTTGTTGATACGTATAACTTGAGAAAATACAATTATCTCCCCTCTCCTATTTACAAAATGGTAATTGGTATTCGGAATCGTAATAATCGATATATAAAATGGAATTTTGAAAGTACGAATACCAGCTTATTAAATAACCGCAGTAAATAATTTAGATTTAAAAGGTAGATTATATGGGCTTGAAAATGACAGTAGTTGTGATACGTCAAATTAAATTCTTACCGGGCGTTATAGAACTTAACGTTGACGCAATAATAACAAATGAGCTAGTTATACGACAATTCACAATCGACGGCATGAATGCAACGTTTGATTTGAAGATTATGAGCCACGATGACAGAGCACAAATACCTAAAGAAGAAAAGTATAACCAAACGAAAACATTGGAAATAAAAATACCGCAAGCGAATATGAAAAGACCTTGAGAATGTTCACGTAAAAACTACGGACAAACCAGAGTTATAAACCAGTGTGAAGGAAGGTGCAAATATAAAAGTTAATTACTTACCAATAATTGACTTTCAGATTACTGCTAGTGATTTATAGATGACGGTTTTATCGCGAGTGTTAACTTTTAGACATGTGTTAAATTGACTATCAGTTGCTCCAAAAATTGGCTATGCTTTTCTGATCGTATTCGAACTACCACTTAACCAAAATGTTTTGGAACACAAAAACCTGATAAGCGAAGAAATGTCGCGGTATTACATAGGTCACCTGAACCATCAATGGTGTAAAAAAACAAATTCTGAAAGTGAATCTGATATGCCTTTGTATTTTTGCAAACTATGGATAACTATAGCATGATTAAAGCAGGAATAGCATTTTAAAGTGTACAGTATGTCGAAAATACTCAAAAATGTATTCGTTCAACTGACATCTACCAAGAATAGTCCTGCCAGGTTGCACTTATGATCAAATTATAGTTTGGTCACAACTCAAGCTCGGTCCTCTAATGCCTGAGGAGTTCGCACAACACGTCCATGTCACTTGCATAAAGAGCTGGTAAAATGGTGTGAGTATCACAATGCTTACGATGATAATAAAAACTATGGATTTATATCATATAGTCCATTTAAAAAAAAATTGTCCAACTGTCATCTAGTCTAATGTGAGTTAGAGAACTTGCAAAAAGCTTTATAATCATCTTTTATGCGCATGTCAGTGAGGTCCGTACTGGTAAACAGATTCATGTTGAAGATAATTCCGTAATTCTTTGACATCGTTACTGACCTCATTAGTTTTATTGGAAACACTCTAATTGAAATCGCCTGGTCACTCGTCGTACTAAATAATGAACTGATACGCCATGTAACGCATTCATGTAACTGTAATCCGGCTTAGACCAAACGCCTTTCAACATATCGGTAGCTTTCGAAATATATCTTCGAGCTCAGTAACACATGACTTCTGATTTAACTAGGTTGGTGTTTTTTTGCACATAATGTTGTTCCAGACGAACGCGTTATCGAGTACCGAATAACAAAATCCTGGAAGTACTGGGTCATTTTTAGACTAACTTACTAAGAAAGCATCATCGCTACTCTTTGAATACATTGTCAGTGACCAGGATAAGTTTTGCTAACAAGGTTACGATGACCAAACATAGAGTATTCCAATATTCTTTCCTCCAAGATTCCAAATTACAGGAACATAGAAACAAAATTTTTACAGCAATGCACTGTTCGCTCGACATTTTACTGAAAAACGTCGGGCAATCCGAGGTAAGTATAAGCCTTTCCGAGTATCACTAAGACGTGATTTCTGACACACTGAATTCTATGTTATGAGTCTATCCTTCTTTGTGACGCCTTATAGATAAGTTTGTCTATTGTGATACTTGTAAGGAGTAGTGTAACTTCATGTGCTATGTTACGTCCACATAGTTTATTCTAGCTGTCAGACAAGTCAATCAATCCATTATTCTTAAACCACATTCTGGTTGTTTTTAGATAAACGCATGTGCGCTCATTGCCGAACTTACTCGTCACATATCTAACTTATTTTTACCTGAAAATAAATATCGATCTACGCTTGATTAAGTCGAGTTGGCTCATTTGCTTCAGTTATTGCACGTCAATTCGTATTGCTTCGCTTTCCGATCAACGACCGTATGAAATGCACATATTCGAAATTCATTACCGTATTTGACATATTAAATTCCACTATACACTAATGCGAGTTAGGTCGATGATTATATACGAGAATAGCCAGGATTTGTATTGCGAAAGTTATCATTCACACTATATAAGTCAGATCATGGGCCACCATATACTTTTATGCGCTCTGAATACTGTATACTAAGTATATTTTCTAGATATGCTGTACAGTATGGAAAAAGGCCCCCTTTAGACGTAAATACCAAACCACTTGCACCCTAGTCTTTAAGTAGTATTGGACTAAATAACAGGCAGCCGACTGCCGTTTGTCCTCGTTTCTTCAAAATTGAACCACTGCTGGAAATATCAGCATTCATATCCATTGTTCATAATTAAGTCGTTGCATTTATTGCGCAGTGGTAAAGTATTCTCCTTATATATTCTAAGAGTTAAATATTGTGCAGAGTAACTTCCACTGTAGGAAGCCGTATACATTAATCGACGCGTCACAACAATAATTGAATTACAATCCGAACTTTTTTTCAGGTCATAGGAGCAAAATTAAAAACTCGAAAAACCGCCAACCAATCGAAAGGCGTTCAAGTGCGAAGTACCTGTATATTAACTGACAAATATATAAAGTTTATGTTCTTTATAAAACTCCTTAGAAGTAAATGATACTGTGAATTCGCGCTTCCAATATGTACTGCCCTCTCTTTTAGATCTTTTGGTCAATTGATTTTCATATAACAGCAACATTACGAGGTGGATTACGATAGTGTGGCATTTACTTACTGTACAGAATGGATTGTTTGCAGGGAAATATTACCAGTGACTCAAGCAATTTACGGATATTCATTTTAAAAAATAACCTCATGTAAATACAACAAGGTAAACAGATTAAACCGAATGAATCTGGAATACTGTGCGTCACAAAACGTAAATCTTATTTCATTTATAGAATGAAAGTCTGTTTTATTAAGTGATTTTTCCACGTAGTATTTGAGCATAAGACAAAGTCGAAATATTTGAAACAGGTAATACATTGCAGTCAGTCTTAGGATCTTTTACCAATTTCGGTTGTTCGTTGGAAAGCTTCACGGCTCCAGGATATTCTCTTTGTGACGCCTTATAGATAAGTTTGTCTATTGTGATACTTGTAAGGAGTAGTGTAACTTCATGTGCTATGTTACGTCCACATAGTTTATTCTAGCTGTCAGACAAGTCAATCAACCCATTATTCTTAAACCACATTCTGGTTGTTTTTAGATAAACGCATGTGCGCTCATTGCCGAACTTACTCGTCACATATCTAACTTATTTTTACCTGAAAATAAATATCGATCTACGCTTGATTAAGTCGAGTTGGCTCATTTGCTTCAGTTATTGCACGTCAATTCGTATTGCTTCGCTTTCCGATCAACGACCGTATGAAATGCACATATTCGAAATTCATTACCGTATTTGACATATTAAATTCCACTATACACTAATGCGAGTTAGGTCGATGATTATATACGAGAATAGCCAGGATTTGTATTGCGAAAGTTATCATTCACACTATATAAGTCAGATCATGGGCCACCATATACTTTTATGCGCTCTGAATACTGTATACTAAGTATATTTTCTAGATATGCTGTACAGTATGGAAAAAGGCCCCCTTTAGACGTAAATACCAAACCACTTGCACCCTAGTCTTTAAGTAGTATTGGACTAAATAACAGGCAGCCGACTGCCGTTTGTCCTCGTTTCTTCAAAATTGAACCACTGCTGGAAATATCAGCATTCATATCCATTGTTCATAATTAAGTCGTTGCATTTATTGCGCAGTGGTAAAGTATTCTCCTTATATATTCTAAGAGTTAAATATTGTGCAGAGTAACTTCCACTGTAGGAAGCCGTATACATTAATCGACGCGTCACAACAATAATTGAATTACAATCCGAACTTTTTTTCAGGTCATAGGAGCAAAATTAAAAACTCGAAAAACCGCCAACCAATCGAAAGGCGTTCAAGTGCGAAGTACCTGTATATTAACTGACAAATATATAAAGTTTATGTTCTTTATAAAACTCCTTAGAAGTAAATGATACTGTGAATTCGCGCTTCCAATATGTACTGCCCTCTCTTTTAGATCTTTTGGTCAATTGATTTTCATATAACAGCAACATTACGAGGTGGATTACGATAGTGTGGCATTTACTTACTGTACAGAATGGATTGTTTGCAGGGAAATATTACCAGTGACTCAAGCAATTTACGGATATTCATTTTAAAAAATAACCTCATGTAAATACAACAAGGTAAACAGATTAAACCGAATGAATCTGGAATACTGTGCGTCACAAAACGTAAATCTTATTTCATTTATAGAATGAAAGTCTGTTTTATTAAGTGATTTTTCCACGTAGTATTTGAGCATAAGACAAAGTCGAAATATTTGAAACAGGTAATACATTGCAGTCAGTCTTAGGATCTTTTACCAATTTCGGTTGTTCGTTGGAAAGCTTCACGGCTCCAGGATATTCTCTTTGTGACGCCTTATAGATAAGTTTGTCTATTGTGATACTTGTAAGGAGTAGTGTAACTTCATGTGCTATGTTACGTCCACATAGTTTATTCTAGCTGTCAGACAAGTCAATCAATCCATTATTCTTAAACCACATTCTGGTTGTTTTTAGATAAACGCATGTGCGCTCATTGCCGAACTTACTCGTCACATATCTAACTTATTTTTACCTGAAAATAAATATCGATCTACGCTTGATTAAGTCGAGTTGGCTCATTTGCTTCAGTTATTGCACGTCAATTCGTATTGCTTCGCTTTCCGATCAACGACCGTATGAAATGCACATATTCGAAATTCATTACCGTATTTGACATATTAAATTCCACTATACACTAATGCGAGTTAGGTCGATGATTATATACGAGAATAGCCAGGATTTGTATTGCGAAAGTTATCATTCACACTATATAAGTCAGATCATGGGCCACCATATACTTTTATGCGCTCTGAATACTGTATACTAAGTATATTTTCTAGATATGCTGTACAGTATGGAAAAAGGCCCCCTTTAGACGTAAATACCAAACCACTTGCACCCTAGTCTTTAAGTAGTATTGGACTAAATAACAGGCAGCCGACTGCCGTTTGTCCTCGTTTCTTCAAAATTGAACCACTGCTGGAAATATCAGCATTCATATCCATTGTTCATAATTAAGTCGTTGCATTTATTGCGCAGTGGTAAAGTATTCTCCTTATATATTCTAAGAGTTAAATATTGTGCAGAGTAACTTCCACTGTAGGAAGCCGTATACATTAATCGACGCGTCACAACAATAATTGAATTACAATCCGAACTTTTTTTCAGGTCATAGGAGCAAAATTAAAAACTCGAAAAACCGCCAACCAATCGAAAGGCGTTCAAGTGCGAAGTACCTGTATATTAACTGACAAATATATAAAGTTTATGTTCTTTATAAAACTCCTTAGAAGTAAATGATACTGTGAATTCGCGCTTCCAATATGTACTGCCCTCTCTTTTAGATCTTTTGGTCAATTGATTTTCATATAACAGCAACATTACGAGGTGGATTACGATAGTGTGGCATTTACTTACTGTACAGAATGGATTGTTTGCAGGGAAATATTACCAGTGACTCAAGCAATTTACGGATATTCATTTTAAAAAATAACCTCATGTAAATACAACAAGGTAAACAGATTAAACCGAATGAATCTGGAATACTGTGCGTCACAAAACGTAAATCTTATTTCATTTATAGAATGAAAGTCTGTTTTATTAAGTGATTTTTCCACGTAGTATTTGAGCATAAGACAAAGTCGAAATATTTGAAACAGGTAATACATTGCAGTCAGTCTTAGGATCTTTTACCAATTTCGGTTGTTCGTTGGAAAGCTTCACGGCTCCAGGATATTCTCTTTGTGACGCCTTATAGATAAGTTTGTCTATTGTGATACTTGTAAGGAGTAGTGTAACTTCATGTGCTATGTTACGTCCACATAGTTTATTCTAGCTGTCAGACAAGTCAATCAACCCATTATTCTTAAACCACATTCTGGTTGTTTTTAGATAAACGCATGTGCGCTCATTGCCGAACTTACTCGTCACATATCTAACTTATTTTTACCTGAAAATAAATATCGATCTACGCTTGATTAAGTCGAGTTGGCTCATTTGCTTCAGTTATTGCACGTCAATTCGTATTGCTTCGCTTTCCGATCAACGACCGTATGAAATGCACATATTCGAAATTCATTACCGTATTTGACATATTAAATTCCACTATACACTAATGCGAGTTAGGTCGATGATTATATACGAGAATAGCCAGGATTTGTATTGCGAAAGTTATCATTCACACTATATAAGTCAGATCATGGGCCACCATATACTTTTATGCGCTCTGAATACTGTATACTAAGTATATTTTCTAGATATGCTGTACAGTATGGAAAAAGGCCCCCTTTAGACGTAAATACCAAACCACTTGCACCCTAGTCTTTAAGTAGTATTGGACTAAATAACAGGCAGCCGACTGCCGTTTGTCCTCGTTTCTTCAAAATTGAACCACTGCTGGAAATATCAGCATTCATATCCATTGTTCATAATTAAGTCGTTGCATTTATTGCGCAGTGGTAAAGTATTCTCCTTATATATTCTAAGAGTTAAATATTGTGCAGAGTAACTTCCACTGTAGGAAGCCGTATACATTAATCGACGCGTCACAACAATAATTGAATTACAATCCGAACTTTTTTTCAGGTCATAGGAGCAAAATTAAAAACTCGAAAAACCGCCAACCAATCGAAAGGCGTTCAAGTGCGAAGTACCTGTATATTAACTGACAAATATATAAAGTTTATGTTCTTTATAAAACTCCTTAGAAGTAAATGATACTGTGAATTCGCGCTTCCAATATGTACTGCCCTCTCTTTTAGATCTTTTGGTCAATTGATTTTCATATAACAGCAACATTACGAGGTGGATTACGATAGTGTGGCATTTACTTACTGTACAGAATGGATTGTTTGCAGGGAAATATTACCAGTGACTCAAGCAATTTACGGATATTCATTTTAAAAAATAACCTCATGTAAATACAACAAGGTAAACAGATTAAACCGAATGAATCTGGAATACTGTGCGTCACAAAACGTAAATCTTATTTCATTTATAGAATGAAAGTCTGTTTTATTAAGTGATTTTTCCACGTAGTATTTGAGCATAAGACAAAGTCGAAATATTTGAAACAGGTAATACATTGCAGTCAGTCTTAGGATCTTTTACCAATTTCGGTTGTTCGTTGGAAAGCTTCACGGCTCCAGGATATTCTCTTTGTGACGCCTTATAGATAAGTTTGTCTATTGTGATACTTGTAAGGAGTAGTGTAACTTCATGTGCTATGTTACGTCCACATAGTTTATTCTAGCTGTCAGACAAGTCAATCAATCCATTATTCTTAAACCACATTCTGGTTGTTTTTAGATAAACGCATGTGCGCTCATTGCCGAACTTACTCGTCACATATCTAACTTATTTTTACCTGAAAATAAATATCGATCTACGCTTGATTAAGTCGAGTTGGCTCATTTGCTTCAGTTATTGCACGTCAATTCGTATTGCTTCGCTTTCCGATCAACGACCGTATGAAATGCACATATTCGAAATTCATTACCGTATTTGACATATTAAATTCCACTATACACTAATGCGAGTTAGGTCGATGATTATATACGAGAATAGCCAGGATTTGTATTGCGAAAGTTATCATTCACACTATATAAGTCAGATCATGGGCCACCATATACTTTTATGCGCTCTGAATACTGTATACTAAGTATATTTTCTAGATATGCTGTACAGTATGGAAAAAGGCCCCCTTTAGACGTAAATACCAAACCACTTGCACCCTAGTCTTTAAGTAGTATTGGACTAAATAACAGGCAGCCGACTGCCGTTTGTCCTCGTTTCTTCAAAATTGAACCACTGCTGGAAATATCAGCATTCATATCCATTGTTCATAATTAAGTCGTTGCATTTATTGCGCAGTGGTAAAGTATTCTCCTTATATATTCTAAGAGTTAAATATTGTGCAGAGTAACTTCCACTGTAGGAAGCCGTATACATTAATCGACGCGTCACAACAATAATTGAATTACAATCCGAACTTTTTTTCAGGTCATAGGAGCAAAATTAAAAACTCGAAAAACCGCCAACCAATCGAAAGGCGTTCAAGTGCGAAGTACCTGTATATTAACTGACAAATATATAAAGTTTATGTTCTTTATAAAACTCCTTAGAAGTAAATGATACTGTGAATTCGCGCTTCCAATATGTACTGCCCTCTCTTTTAGATCTTTTGGTCAATTGATTTTCATATAACAGCAACATTACGAGGTGGATTACGATAGTGTGGCATTTACTTACTGTACAGAATGGATTGTTTGCAGGGAAATATTACCAGTGACTCAAGCAATTTACGGATATTCATTTTAAAAAATAACCTCATGTAAATACAACAAGGTAAACAGATTAAACCGAATGAATCTGGAATACTGTGCGTCACAAAACGTAAATCTTATTTCATTTATAGAATGAAAGTCTGTTTTATTAAGTGATTTTTCCACGTAGTATTTGAGCATAAGACAAAGTCGAAATATTTGAAACAGGTAATACATTGCAGTCAGTCTTAGGATCTTTTACCAATTTCGGTTGTTCGTTGGAAAGCTTCACGGCTCCAGGATATTCTCGTTTGATTACACTGGTAAGGCTTCCACGATTACTCATTGATCCTGCAGGCAGTTTGGAATAACCACGTCTCGCAATAACCATTACATGACAGTTAGGTCCCGGATCATATGTACAAGCTTCCATACCATAGTATTCTACAATATCATGAATGAATCGACGTTTTCTTTTATTCATAGGCGGAAAATGATGAACCAGAACTTTGGGGTATTCTTTAAGATTATTTGGATCAGTAGGTTCAATATTGGATTTCAAGAACTAAAATAAAGGAAATACTCGATTTTCAGCAGACATCATGACTTGAAAATAAATGATATTTGTAAAGCAGGTACATGAAGTGTTTTGAATGTATCCAGTAAATGTGGAAACTATTGAAAATGTTTTTTCAAAAGTTTCCTCTACACAATCTATACTAAAAATCACTTTCCTAAACATTCATACCACAAACTATTGGAGTTTTGTTTGTTTTTTCTCGGTGTAATTCTTCAGCCTTTTTCCTCAATAGAAGGAAACCATGTTCGTTACATATTACCATATCTTTATACTTAATAAGACGTCAAAAACAATTTACGAAGCCATTAATTATTTTTATGAAAACTATAAAGACAACAATATCTGGAGTTTAAGACCTATTTCATAAGTCTTTTTCTCAAGAAAAACTATTCCAGTAAAACTTTCAGTATTCTGAAATCAAATCTTTCAAACGGTTTATATTTACCTCACAAACTATCTAAAACTATTATGTTGTAGTAACCATCATACAACTTTCCCCTGGTATAAAAGAATAGTTAAAAAGAATGGGAAATTCATCACTGTGAGAATATTATGTATCAAATAAGAAACATATTCGATCTACTGCAAAGCGTGATCAAGATAATGTGAGGTATTCATGAGGAATAACCAAAGGTCAACAAGATATAACTCTCACGAAATTTCGGAAGAATAATTTACTTATGATGCTCTAATGATACACCTACGTATTCCCTTTTAAATATTACCGACATACAACATCAATTTCTATTGTTCTTCTCTATTAAAAAACATCTTGTTATTTTCACCGGTAATTATGCCTACAGAATTAGCTGGGAACATAAAGACAACTACGATGAAATGCCTCCGATAGTATTATGCGAGTAGTTTTAAAGAAGCTTCATGTTATAACAAGTTCAAGTTTTCGTATAAATTTTATTTTATTTCTTTGATCAACACCAGATTGTTAACACACTTTGATAGTGAATTCTTTTTCTTTATGTTGCTTTTTTGTATTTAAAACTCTGTTAGTTAGTTTATTAAAGTTCAATGAACCATGAAATTATGAAGATCAGTAAATTTCAATGAAATGACAAAAGCACAAAATAAATGTATTATGTTACAGATTATAATCAAGTTGTCTTTAAATAACCAGCAAAGTTAATAATTCCTCTAATGACTAGCATATATCATTTCTACTACGTAGGAAAAAAAAGCCAGCGGAAAACTGTCATGACGTGTTATAAACTTGTAAAGTTTATGTGTATTACAGCTGTATTATTAATAACTAGTTTTTATTCCTCTTTCTGTATATTTTTCATTAATCGTATTGGCTGATTTAAGCTTTATTTGTCTGACTACGTTGAACAATCTATGAGCCTATACACGTTGCTGCGTTCGTTACTTTGTATGTAAATTTAACAAAAACGAACTATTATTGATTATGGAACCACTCCTTATTCATATATTTTCGTATGTAAATACTCTGGGAAGATAAAACAATCTACTTACTTCAGTTGATCTCATGTACGTAGTTTCAGTAAATCTAAGAAAACATATTGTTTGACAAAATCACTGTGATAGTGACTATGTGTTAAAATCATCATGCTGTTGTTTAGTGACAAACTGAAGACAGTAAATAATATTATTGCCGTTGATTGTCAGTGTGAGAAAACTGCACTTTAAACAACTTTCTCAAGACTGAAACAAATTTTAGTATTGTGGAATAACTTTTAGTGAATATCAAACTTAGCGGTAGACAGAAAGACTGAAATAAAATATCCGTAGAATAATATTCACAAAGTGGTTTTTTTAAGTAAACTTACCTGTATAATCATACTTTTCAATTGTTCTTCAATATTTTCAACAAAAGTAAAATTTCTTAGTGCAAACTGCTTTAAATGATCAGGATACTCCGGAGGATCAAATGGGCACTCATCTTCATCTGAATTAGGCAACATAGCATCAGAACTGTTTGTTAAACCTCTCTTCCAAGTGCTTGTATTAGCATATTGACTGATTGTATGTGATTCTGTAGAACTAGTACAAGAATTATCACAAGCTAATAGAGGTATTGGCTTTTGAGAATCATGTTCAGTAAAAAGTGAATGACTACCTGTCAATGGTGCACTGCTCATATTGCGTTCATGCTCCAAAAGTAGATATTGCTTTGTATACACCTAGGATAAAGTTGTTAGTATATATAGTTGTATTAACAGTTGTCTATTTAAAGTATCCCATAAAAAAACTTTATCATGGTACCTTTCACCACTGTAAAAATCTATCAAAAACAGAATGAACAGTTTCGTATTCGTACACAACTCAACCAGTAATATATCCATTACGAAATTCTGAAATGTGATTTTATTACAAAAATTAATTCTAATTACAATCTAATGTACAAGATTAATTAAAAGTTTTCATTTGTAAAACGTAGAATGGTGATACTATAATTTATGGACGAACCAATCAGATATAAGATAACAGGTCTTGGATTTTGGCGCTAACTTCATTCATCCATTTGGCTAAATGGCATTTTGGCATTATAGCTGGTGTCCTTTCGTAATGAAAACCCTAACTATCAATTGTAAATCATAATCTTGATTCTTCCTACAAATTTATAACCCTCACTTAGTCCTAAACAGTAGGTGGACATTCTCAAGGTTACTTTAGTGTCGCTCAAAGGCTGTCCATAAATTATAGTCTCACCCACTGATTTTATAAGTAGAATCCTTTATAAATGTGAGGTTGCCTCAGTCAATCATCAGTCAGTAACAACGTAGAACTTCGGACGTAAGTACATCAGTTCGAGTTGCCACACCACATTAGCACAGAGATGCAGTTGTCGATTCAAATCCCGTAGTGGTAGAGGTGGTAAGAGTATATGCAGTAATCGGAAACATTAGGGTTTGAAGATTTTTAATTGATGAACAGTTTATTTCAAGGATGTTTCATACAAAATTCCATTTAAAAAGTATTCTGTTTATAAAATTAGTGCTTATATTTTAGATGATTTATACGTTCAGTTAGAGTGATCTACGATTAGTTGAAGATTAAAGAGACATATTCGGCGATAAAAATAAAAATAAACTACGTTATACTGCGAAAATCATTCGACTTTAATTCAATTTACTGGCTGCTCTATACTTGTTGATGTGAACAGAGAAACAAGAAACCTTGACAAACTACGGAAGCTATTTTTCGGAACATTATTTCATTTTATTCAAAGCTTGTAAAACATTAACATTTATTTTTGCCCCTAGTCTATTCTACAGAACATAAGCTTTCATTGCCATACTCCTTTTTGTTCCAAAGCTATTGTAATTTAAACATATTATTTTGTTTTTGATTGAGATTATGAACTGATTGATGTTAGGCCACTATTGATCTCAATCAAAAACTTAACAATCACCACAACCCCTAAACTGATATTATTTTGTACTCTATTTTCTACTCTAATTCCCAGCTTTGGACATAATTGTATCTTCCTAATTATTGTACGTTGTGGTCAGGTTAGTCATCTATTTATTCATATACTCTATTACACTAATCGAAAATCGGGAACCAGATCGGAATTGAGAATAAATCGAGTAGTGTTCCAGTTGGCTTGTCTTCTCTCACTCATGTGCTTGTCAGCCAATCAGGTGATAGAATAGTTTTGCTTCTCTCTACCCCACTTCGAACTCACGCGTACTAGCCTCAAGGTTAAGCCGGACAGCCTATCGCGTCAAGGTCTTAATCTGGATTAGACAAGTTAGCCTCAATACCAAAAGCGGGTAGACAGATCAAGGACATAACACTTGGTATACATAAAGTTTTGTTGTGATTTGTATTTGGTTCTCAATAGAACGATCAAATAATTGAGTTGGATGTATTACATAATCAAGCATTACGTCCATCTAATTTGTAGTACAAATAACAGTAACAATGTAATTGTCTTCAATCTTATTAAAGATGTATTGCACAATAAAATAAGTCGATTCATTTCACTTCTCCACGCAATATTTCCTTCTACTTCATAAAAATTTACTTGAATAACTAATGGTAAGAAATTCTGAAAATAATCTACAATCAAGGGCATTGTGACACTTTGTTATTCAACTGTTGAGGTTCATTGTTACTTACGCCTGTTACTCCTCATGAAGGAGCATAGGCCGCTCACCAGCATTCTCCATCCAACCCTGTCCTGGTTAGCGTTTTTTGAGCGAGTTAGTTTTCTACGGGATGGGGTCGCTAACCCCATACATAACCCTCCTTCTTTACCCGGGCTTGGGACCGGCAGTAACTCTAGAACAGCTACACGCGGCATTTAAGGTTCATTGTAGAACAATCAAAATTATCTATACAAAATGCATACACATTATATTTATACGGGGGATGTAAATAAACAATTCCGGTAAGGTTAAGAAATTTGAAAATGACAAAAGACTGCTTCTGAATTAAAAAAATATAATAGTGTCATAAACTTGAACAAAACTCATCAGCCCATTTTGGTACTAAAACTTTTTCAAGATGATGTTTTGAGTTTTATATTGAATGGATGAGGCCATGGTATACACAATTACCAGTAGTCACAATTTACAATGAAACTGACTTTTACTGCTAGGAGAATAGAATTCTGATCAGGCCCAAATCGGAATGCGTTGATTGATCAGTTTTCAACCAACTAGTATTAGTAAACGAATCGAGAAGATACTAGAAGACTCTTCGACTAATTTTATTGCTTTGACTATTGTTTCTTTGTTTTTTGGTTTGCCGGAATTTATATGGTACGTTCTCGATGGTAATGTAAGCGACTGTATATGACAATGACTTGTTTTCATTTAAGCTTTTGCTAGTAAAACTGCTCTCATCTGATATGTGGTTTAACAGTCATAACTTTACATCTTGATCAAATACTGTTAACTTTTGTTAATTGTTTAGAACTAAGGGAGGTTTGCCAGTCTACTTCAAATATTTAAAAATAAACTAGTACAAAATATAAGAAAGAGGTCAATAGATTTACTGGTAGTAACTTTCACTGACCAGACTTATCCGTATGATGTAAACTGGGTATAAAACTCAAGGACTAACTCAGATGACTTGTTCATTGATGTCTAGCAAACCTGATTAAAAAAGACTTTAAAGTTTCAATGTAAACGTAACAACATATTAGATAAGATAAACGATAACTTGGAATCCTGCAGAAAAACGGAAAAGAGAAAGACCAAAGAACACACTGCGTCGGGAATCGGGAGCAGGCACCAAAAGGATGAATAGAAACTGGAAAACAATTAGCCAGGACAGAGTTGGATGGAGAATGCTGGTGGGTGGCCTATGCTCTTCCATGAAAGGTAACAGATGTAAGTAAATATTATCAATGAGTAACTTTTTTATTACTATATAATTTCTCTTATGTCTCAATGGTCGTTTCATTAGTCGTAAACTAACATTTCTCTTAGTTAAGAAACTTTATATATGTCGAGCCATATTGAACTAGTCATTTCTGTACTTGTCCATGGTGAGAGTTAACCGTTGTCACTGGGTTCCCCATTTTGAAAGTGTTTTTTTGTGGACTAAGCTATTTATTACTGATTGTGGAATCTTTTATTATTTATATGTGATCACATATTAATAGTCTAAATAGCCAAAACAGTCTACTGATTCTGATCGACCTCAGGATCATTATTCCGGTGAATCTAACGTAGGACCTGACAGAAACGTGCATTGACCCTACATGGGACATCACGTCAGCACTGCAGAATTAAATTACAAAGGTGAACACCAAAGTAGTAGCAGTGATAGTAAATAAGAAGAATTAAATATGGCGAGCGTAATTCAAGAAAAACAAACCAACCACGTTTAAATTATTTTCGAGCTTAGGATCTAGCGGTAGACAAAGGGTTAATGTATTTGTAATATTATAACCAATTGTGAGCTAATTAATTCAATGTCCTCAACAGTTGGCCACAACAATCGCGAGGACTCTAATCGGGTAGTTTGCACTTGCAAACGTGGCTCAAACCAATAGTCAACGACATCATTAACCGATGTGATGTCTCGACCCAACCCTCCCTAACTTATTCTTTTGCCGACCAACTTTGATAAAAGAAATTATTTGATTTTACGTCAATGAAAACTTATTAGGATTACCTGATGACACTGTTGTTTTTGTTTGATATTTCCACAGCGACAGACGACATCTACTAATGCAGTACAAATCAACTGGCTTTCTGAACCGTGATTAGAAAAAGCCTCCAAGCATGATTGATTTCGAACTTCGTGACAGGGTAAACCACATGGATGTCCGCAACCAGGACGAGGTTTCTGACAGGGTTGGATGCATACAGTATCACATTCTTCGTCGGATGTAGTGAGATCCAAACAAGGACCGGCGTGACATTTACGCTGACAAAGATGTGAGCAACCTGAAAGTGGTTTATTGCAAATTCGTCCACAACTTCGAACTTCTTGAAAACAAGGCACTTTAAACTGTACTCCGTGTCCTGATATGGTATGTGAAAAAGAATAAACGGTTAACGTAGAGGAACAGAAAGAATACTTCAGAAATCAAGAATTGAAAATCAGTCAAAAGTAAAACAGAAATAGATAATGAATGACTTGACAAGAATATGTAACGGTCCCGGTCACTAATCCACTAAAACGAAAACAGTAATACAAAAGATGAGAAACACAGCTGGAAAAGTGATATCAAATATTGTGAAAACTAAACAATAAAAAATACATTTCAAACAATACGAGTGAGACCAAACAATAAAATGCATAAGTTGACACCAAGTGAAAATTAAGAGGAAAATCAAGTGTAAATTTGTCTGTGCCGCTTCAACTGATTTCGAACTGTATAACATAACGATTATTTTATGGACCGCTCCCGAATGTCCTGGTATGGCCGAGAGTGGGGAGAGTCAGCTTCCCCTCCCGAAACTCTCTCAAGTGGCAACGTGCATACAACCGCTGCCATGTAAATCCTACTCACTACCTTCTCGTGGCGGGGGTGCTGTTTACGAGGTTGAGAGAACGAAAAACGAATGTTCGGTGCTCTAAACCCGTTGGTGAATACGGAGGATTCATTTAGGAGAGTTGGAAAACCCTGATTCCAAATCAATGGTGTATGTGGGCTCCAGGATCCTAAAGAAATAAATGGCGCATGAACCAATTGTTGGTCACCGTCTACCATGAGACTACATCTCCTTACGTTGTCCACTGCCTTGTGGGTCAGACCTTTAGGTTCAACGCCCAGGGATGTGGCCTCCTAAGGAAACCAACTGCTTCAATTTGGGCACCCAGGCAGTATCCCAGCCCTCATACCAATCGAATGATTTATGTGGCGTATGCGCATTCGGTGCCTCTTTGTACCAATATTTATGTGTTCAAATAAATAAATTTTATGAGCCTCAAAAAAGTGACTAATTCCATAAACTAGTGCCATGTTTAATCTCATTCTTCTTACCCTCCCTTCAGTTTATTCCAACGAAAACATGTCTCAACTGCCTGTACTTTGATGAAAATTTACAGATTTATCATGGAACTAATCATGTCTATTTAAAATCATACATGTCACCTCAGCATTAATCACTTGGTACTTTCACAGCATGTGAACAATGCTTCACAGATATCGATAATCAAATATTTAAAACTTTCATCTATTCTGTGTTTTTCATAGCTCATGATTTTTTTTGGCAGTTGTAAAACCAGTATAGAACAAACTGATGCAGAATATATTCACTCTCTGATATCCATCAAAATCAATAGATGTTAAAAAAACACTTGGTATTTTAACGCAATCAGCTTAACGTTAATCAACATATACAAAATAATTTAAGGGCTGAATTCATGAATCAGTTGAAGCTAGACCACCATAGAAAACTTAGACACACTAGACGGCTTTTTCGTTCCAGTGTGGAACTCCTCAACGATTCCACCTCGCGAGATTCGAACTCAGAACCTATTTGTTTCGTGTACGACCGCTTAATTACTAGACCACTGAGCCGGCACCCAACGGTATTAATGCCTAACTTCGACCAATCCACGAAGTTGTGCCACCGTCCAGGTTTTCCATGGTGGTCTAGCTTCAACTGACTATTAAATTACTAATAATATCCACAAAACCCCTCTGTGAGTATACAAAATACTTAAATTTAGTATGTAAATTAGAAAGTACTAATTAAGTTATAATTAGTATATAAAATGTAGTTATACTGCACTCATATTGGAAAAATAAAAATAAAAAACAACATAGAGATTAAATCTCTAGAAAACAAAAGTTAACACATTATTACTTTTAATTTACTTATGTAAGTTTACATAACTAACGGGTACAAAAACCAATAAGATTATTGATTTAAGACATTTTTTTGGTAAATTGATTGTATATGTTTTGGATTTACAAGAGTGATTTAATACACATGATTAATTTAATCAATTTTACAGATGATTTTACTACAATGAAAAGTAATTAAAAGGTGAGACCTTTGAGCAATACTAAAGTGACCTTGAGAATATCCACCTATTAACTATGACTAAATGAAGGTTATAAAATAGTTTGAGGAATTACAATTATGATTTACAGTTAATCGTTAAGGTTCTGAATTAGATTTAGGGTTTTCATCACGACTGGATATCAGGTATCATGTCAAAATGATATTTAGACAAATGAATGAATGAATTTCTCACCAAAATCTAAGATCTGTTTTCTTTATATCTGATTGGTTCGTCCATAAATTATAGTCTTGCCTACTCAAACAACACAATCCATAAGTGTAGCAGAAATGGATGATGTGCTTAGTCCTAAACTGACTCTGCAAAGGCTTCAGATAAGTGATTACGAAACACATTTAAAAATGACAAGCTGACAGATTTTTATTAGTAATCCTTCGCTGAAATCTTCAATAACAGTATCTTCGATGTAGCATGAGTCAAATTAACGCGTGGCTTTAAGAGAATAATCAATAAATACTTCAAAACAGCTTACAGATGACAAAATTCTTGAACAGTGAAAAGCTCTTTATGAAAATAAACACTTTAATAAAAAATGAGGAAGAGTATAAACCAAATAGAAATTGATGTGTCAAAGGAAGTAATATGTGCATGCTCAATAAACGAAGATATATATATCCAGCTATGCTAAATATAAAAGACTGCTTTACATGTAAAACTGATTCCAGTCTGATTTTATTGTTGAATAAACTATTGTTCTGGTTTAATTTTAATTTTGATAGTTGTTAAGACTTTAATTGTCTGAGTTCATGTAATCCAACCTAGTGTTTGGTTTATCAATCCAATCGGCAAATTACCAGTGGTAAGATCAATTCAAATCAAATTGCTTTTGTTATATAAGAAATAAAACAAATATCTAGGTCAGCATCAATTGAACATATTTATAATTAATTTCTTTTTAGCTCTTTGCGCTTAAATTTAAAGAGCGAGATATTATTATCTTCAATTCTATGAAATGATGGCATCGAGCCTCTTGATAAGTATATGTGAAGTAAGTGAAAAAAGTTGTTTTTCTAAAAGCAGTTGTATGTTACTTATCGGCCCTTTGTGGTACAACACAAAGGAGAAAGGTGCCAGTTGTTTAGAAACCGCAGAAAAGCACTTAGGTTGAAGGCCATAAGGTTAAACAACATATGCAGTTTCAGTGTAGCTAGATATTAGGGAACAGTAGGAAAATAACTAGTTAAAATTTTAAAAGAACTAAGATAATATAAAATTTCGCACAACGAAGACCAACTCAGATCAAGGTAGACTCATTTTCTTTATGACTAATCTTAGTAAGAGAGATGGTAACTTGTATTATTCTCACTGAAAGTGCTTCTACAGAACTAGGCGATAAAGCGTGGGTTAACACTTGAGGATGGAAGTCACTACAGTGTTTATGTATTTGATTAGTTTTATAAAAGGTAGTGGAAATCGCATAGGTGGGGTCAATAGTCAAATATTAAAAGGCATAAAGGTATACGTAAATTCAAAACACTTGTGGTACAGATATGAAATCTACTGATAATGAAATATAAAGCATACAATGTTTCAACAAATATATATTTTCGGTGCTTTTACAAATTACGAGATTAATCTTCAGTCAGTAATAAAGAAACAAATATGTTCCAATTCGGGCTACCTTTGCCGCCTTATATATTGTCCATTGATATATCGACAGCTTATGTAATAACACAATGTTCGCCAACTCAATGAATTACTAAACGAAACTATCAACTGATGACGTGTCGACTTTAAATAAAGGATACATAAAACTAAAACAAATCTTTCAACATCAGTAAAAATCATGCATAATTCAACATACTTTTAAGTTTATGAAAAAGATTTAATCTATTTACTCAGGAGTCAATGTGAAGAGTTAACAGTTGAAAATATTAATACCAATCAAAGGCAACAATAATTAAGCTCACCTCCTGGACAAACTTTATTCATTATGACTGTACAAGGTGGACACTTAGGTTCCATATGACAAGTATGTTTAACTGGATGATCACAATTATGTGCGAGACTGCAAGGTTGATTACATTCAGGTGCACTAGATCCACAGGGCTGTGGGGGATGCAGTATGGTGTGACCACAACGGCATACTAGTTCTGAATAAATCACACCACGCCAACAAGAATTGCATGGGCCTGAATGACACTGTTCTTCACAATAATGTAGTTGGCAAGATAATCGACGGCCACAGATTTCAGGGCATGAGTGTATAGTATCCTAAAATTCATAAACGATGGAAATGGATGACAACTGAAATGAAAACAGTATTTTGAGATTAGTTAACGTGTAGATATACCGTAAGTCGATATCCAAGCAATGGAGATATCCGTAAAAATGTGCCTAACGAACAATTGTACTTGATTATTTGCCAGCTGCTACTCACCATTTTTAATTTCCCCTTTCAGTTGGATGCTCTAACAATGTAAAGAAGATTTCATTAGTTTAAGTCCCACATTCGCAGATACCTGTTAATATACTACAGCTAGAAGAAATCCATAACGATGGCAAGAAAAGGTTTAACCTATTATTTTAGAAACAACTATTCACTTCTTCACAGATATAACAGGCAAAATGATCACGAACACACTATGTGTATCGACTGTCATATAAAAGCATAAAGCTAACCACATAGAGGAACCCTTACTATTTAACCAACTGTCAATAATCAGATGACATCATTTTGCAAAACTTTACAGAGTTATGATATAAACGACGGTGAGGACAGAAACCGTATGCTTTTTATCAGTATTACTACCTTTTAAAAATAACATACATTGGTATATGTTCACAGAAAAATTAAGTTAAAGTCACAAATGATTGAATTGCTAAGATTTCTTAATTCACGGTGGAGAATTCACAGTTTATACTAATGAAGTGGAAGATCCGTTAATTCGTGCTTGGAATTAGGAAAAAATCTAAAGTTATAGAGCTATTTGGGGAACTATTTAGTCCGGAGAAAAAGATGCTGTTTTACTAGGTTTTAAATAGCTTTTAAGCAGATGACAGGAAACCCTAGAACCAGGTTTCATGCTATTCGACACTCGTCAATACGGTGTTCCTGAAATCTTGAGGGAACTAATGCCGAGTAATCCAAGCTGTCAAACATTGCTACTGAACTTTTCTAGTTCCGATTGCCCTCAGCTATATCCAACCATCTAATATCAATACACAAAGCATGCAAAAACGAGTTACTGATACAACAATATGACGAAAGGTAGAACTCGATCAATGCTAAAACACAAAATGATCATTACCCAGTGATCAATTATTGCAGATATTTCAGTTTTATGGGCAGTCAGTCGTGATCTGAATAGCTCAGTGATGACGTTATAGGCTGCGAAACTGGGTGACCAGGGGCTTAAGCCTACCAGGTAGCATCAGTGCACTCAAAATAGCACATATCCATTGCTGATGTATACCAACTAGCAGGACATCGAGATCCAGGTTTTTCTGACAAATACATCCAACCAGTTAACCTTAGAACGTAGTGTACGCAATATCAAGACTGGTGGCTACATTGTAAATTGATCAATGGAATTCGATAAACACGAAAGACTATACAAACATGACATTAAGTATTACTTAGTGATCACTAAAAAATATCTATTGAGTTATCAATAAAACATGAGAAAATGTTAAATAACGAACCTATTTCATTTAAAACTTACATTACAACATAATGTTTTGCATTTATGTCGACCACAAATTAATTTCTTCTTACATACGCGTTGACAACAGAGTTCAGGAGCGCCTATAAAATTTCAGTGATATATCTTGAAATAACTTACAAATGAATACAATATACAAACGATTCTTGTATAATTTTTCGTATATAAAAGGCAATTATCGATCTATTCACAACTCTAGTCACCTTGTACCACTGAATTTATATAATTGTTTTTTTTTCTTCTTAAATAACATATGACCGTAAAAACCGACTGACGATAATAAATAATAACCGTATGTATTGGAACAATCTTTAAGTAAAAAGTGCAACAAACTAAGTACAGTTGATTTGATTATTTCTCAAGTAGCTTATCTGCACAAATCATTACACACACACATACACACTATATATATATATATATATGTTACCTTCACAATAAACTTCTCTCAATTATACTCAAGTGGATAATTGTAAAAGACAATAAATGTCTTTAAATTGGGTACATTATTGAGTTATTTAAGTACGAAAACCCCCTGGTACGGCCGAAAGTTGAGAGAGTCCGCTCTCCCTCTCGAAATGCTCTCACATGGCCACGCGTGTATAGCCTCTGCCAGGGAAGTCCTACTCACTGCCTTCTCGTGGCAAGGGTGTTGTTTACGAAGTTGAGAGAACGAAAAATGAACGTCCGGCGCTTTGACCGGGTCAGTGGACATGGAAAGTCCACCTAGGGTAGTTGGAAAACCCTAATTCCAAACCAATGGTGCACATGGGCTCCAGTATCCTGAAGAAACAAATGGCGTATGAACCAATTGTTGGTCACCGGCTTCCATGGAATTGCATTTCCTTACGATGCTCCACTGCCTTGTGGATCAGACCTTCAGGTCGAAGGCTCGGGGAGTGTCCCCCTAAGAAAACCACCTGCTTCGGTTTGGGCACCCAGGCAATATCCCAACCCTCACACATATCAAATGAGATTTGTGTGGCGCATATGTATTTGGTGCCTACTTGTACCAATATCTATGTGTTGAAACAAATAAAAAATAAATAAACGAAAACCCTAATTGGAATATTTTCAGTGATCTATATGAATTTTTAATAAAAAAACTATAAAATAAATCTTTCGTTATTAGTTACTACAGAAGATCGGCAAAAGATGAAGTAACATATTTAGATAGATGATTAGAAGTTGAAAAAGTTTACACAATAACAAGGATACTATAGATGATCTCTCGATGATTTTATAAGAACCCGTAAGAATATTTGTTTAATAATGTCAAGAATAAGATGACATAAAATGAACAATGTATCACATTACCAATTGATCGAAGTGAGAAATATGAACCAGTATGAGATTCAATGGTTCACAGATGTTATGTTTGAGGTAAGACTCACATGTTCTCGGTTCGACCACACATTGGAACGTAGATGTACACTATTAAGAAGTTTAAAACTATGGCAAAACAGCTGACCAGTGGCTCTCACTCGTTTACAACGGTTTACCGACTAGTGTTAATTCATGAACAGAACAGTTTCCATATTGAATTAAGATATGTTCACTTAAAAGTACATTTGAATGATAGACCAAAATAAACATAATTGATTAAATACAATAAAAATATCTGAATACATTTCATTTTTATAATTTATCATAAAATATTAAAAGGTCATTCAATAATAAAATGTACTATTGCTTAAATTAGAAAATAGAAATAATTACCTTCTTTATCTGATAATTTAGAGAACTCTTGACATGTCATTACTTTTGAACTTTGTCCACAACGACATCTTAATGAAATAGATAATTCACATGGAGGACAAGGGCCAGTATGACAATATTCTGAACATGTATGACCACATAGTGATCTAGGACGCCCACAGATATTAGGACAAGTAGGTAGAGGATCCGTACAAGATTGTCGATTGCCGTATAAACAACTTGTTGATACCTATAGTGAGGAATTAATGTTGAAAAATGACCTAATTTTTCTGTAGCCAAATAAACATTGGATATGAATATGTTACAACAGTAAGAAAGGTACAACAAAAATTCAAATATATTTCCAAAGGATTTATTGTGGATATAAAGTACCTTTTTACAAAAACAAGACCACCACTCAAACATGTTAGAAATATTGATTCAAGCCAAATTCAACGATTACTGATTACCGCCTAATAACAGAACTACTACTACTGTTGTGTATGCTACTTGTGCTGACAGATATAAGTAGTATGTAGCAGGAGTCGGAGGTAGAATGCCTGTCAACAGGAGAATGAAATGAAGAGAAGAGAAAGGAAAACGAAGAGCGCTTGGAATAGCGAAAGAATTGGAACAATCAGGAAATACGTTAAGGACAAATGAAGAAAGATGCCTAAATAGTGCATAAAATAATAAATCGGTTAATCCCACATGTGTCTTCGTTAACTACACTACTGCGATACTATAAAAGCGAGCAAATAGAAAACTTGGATAATAGCGTACACTAGTTGATACAGTTACACATAGTAAAAGGACAACGAAAGATTATCAAAAGAAACGAGAAAAATAATAAAATGAATTAAAAATGAACATAATTAAGCGGAGGAATAAATAAGTGGAGACTAGTAAAATTTGCAAAGATTAAAGGAGTAAGGTATCTTCCCCGTTATTATCTATATTGATCTACATTACTTGGGGCCGTCATTCATACACTGAAGGAAATCGCATACGACTCGTATTAACAGTAATTGATTACTTAAAAGCATGTCATTTGCTTCGCTTATTCTTAAGTATATTACGATCTAATCCTCTTTTAGATAAGTAATATCAAGTAAAGTAAGTAATATCAAGTAAACGTTCTATAGCTGAGTTTATATTTAATTGGTGGCCCATGTATTAAGGCTGAAACAACTCTATAAACGGATAAGTAAGACAAGTAATCAGCATTGTAAATAATAAATTCATTTCAATAACATATATATTATATAACTATGGATGAGGATAAGTTATTCAATGCTTTATGAACTCATAACGAATCAACAATTGAACTTTACTCGGATTAGATTAACATATTTTCCAGGTATTTAAGTATGAGCTACACCGTAAGTGCGAGAGCTAATGATATCAATCAATTATCCAGATTGAAGTAGGTGGAGCGGGTTTCGAACATGGGACTTAATTGCTGAAATTTAAACACCTAAACTACAGAGAGCCATCACCCTACTAACCAACTAGTCAAATTTTATTGATCAGACTGACGAGTGAATTATATTTTTTTAAACTAAGAAAATAATAACTACACATCGTAAATATCAAGCATTCAAACTACAATATAAACTAACCAATTTAGTGAGAGGTGTTTTTCCACAAGGACAGGTTAAACACCATGCCGGATCAAGCGCACAAGGTGGACATTCTCCAGAATGACAGTAATTTGAGCACTTATGATTGTTGCAACTTAATTGACGACCACACACACGATCACATGAGAAAGTAGGACCAATTTTAACCAATAGTAAATCAGATGAAATAATTTGTTTATTATTATCATTAACTATTCTAGTTGAATCAGTATTGTGGATATCAGGTTTGGATAATTGAGAGGATAAACTATTGTTTAAATCATCATTAGCACGTAATGATAAGTCATCAGCAATTGATATTTGCTGGAGTTTTAAAATATCAGAATAATCGTTATTGATTATTTTACTTTGCAATTCCACAAAAGCTGTACGTAAAGTTTGTAAATCTTTCTGAGAAAAAGTGCATTTTCGTATTTCATTACTGCCACAAATCAACTTTACATTATTATCCTGACCACAAAAACAAGCTATAAAAAAACAAAAAATAAATCATTATGAGCAAAAATGGATAGTGGCTAGCAGTGGAATCCAGGACACATATTTCGTCCCAGTTGGGACTCATCAGCTGAATGTACCTGCATCTTAGAGTTCATTCCGGGACTTGATTCAAACAATCAACACAAAAATGAATTGTATGTAAAGAAAAAAGCATTGAAATTCAATTCAAATGTAGAAATTTGTTTATGACCAGTAATACATTGAATGATAATACCAGCTGAAAATCTTATTGTTTACAATTATTTATTAACGTTATTATCTTGTTTGATAATAGATTTCAATAAAATAAAGTGTTTTATAACAATTTCAATGGTTGGAATCATGAGTCAATTGAAGCTAGAGCACAATGGAAAACCTGGAAGCACTAGACGGCAGTTTCGTCCTATTCTGGGGCTCCCCAGCAGTACGCATCCACGATCCAACCTCACGAGATTCCAACCCAAAACCTATCAGTCTCGCGCACAAGCGCCTAACCACTAGACAACTGAGTCGGCATCCAACGGTGTTAATTACTATAATATCCACAAAAGCCCTACTGATATTAATCAACATATGCTCACTAGTGACTGGTTTCAAGAGGTGTTTCCTGGAGTTCTAGTTAAAAGCAGTGACCAGTGGAGTTCAACCGGGTCGTTTGTGAGATGGTAACTCACTGAAGACAATGGTGGATGTGTCGCTCTATTTCGTGGATTGGTTGAAATTAGACATTAACATCGTTGAATGCCGGCTCAGTGTTTTATAACAGTTAAGAAATTGTATTAGAATTCAATTGTATACTGATCATTAGTCAAGCTGTTTTTCAATAACATTATACCCTTATATAATGGACTATAGTACTATACAAGTATATTAAGAATTTCTCAAACTAGATGTTTAATTTTAATATGCTTCATATAGAATTGATCGCTTCTCTTTCCTTCAATTCCTTACTATATCTGTAATCTGGAAGGTTTTGATAACTTCCATGGTAAATGGATTAAGAAAGGAACCATAGTTTCACTGTGCACACTGAAGAGAAGTAGTAATGGTATTAGGAGTCGATTTTCAGATTTTCATTCAATGTCTTATTATTGCTCAAGTGAACGGGTTACTTGAAGATAGAAATCAGCGGATTATAGAGACCGTCAATGTAACTAGTTCACTTAGTGAATATCGGACTAATCACCTTTTGACCAATAGCTTAATGACTACGAAAAATGACGAGATGACCGTAAGCCCTATTGCCCCACAAGCTCATTCTAGCTCACAGAGCAATCAGAAGACAAATATAGTAAGAGGATTTAAATGTCTGTTATTCTTTATTCATCCTGATTCAGAAGTTCCTCAGTTCATTACATAATACTATTAAATACAATATATACATATCTAAAAAGTAAAATAAAACATGTTACGATTTTACTAAAACTTTCCTATAAGTTACATGAATGTATTTTTCTAGAATAATCTCAATGCTAGTTCTTTTTTATATTCGTAAATGTGTATGTGTCTTTTTAATGAATTTTCGCGTATACAGAATTCATTTTGTTGCTCAGTAAATATCGTCATTTCACTGTATTTGTGTCCATAGCTATGGTATGTGCTTTGCACCTTCGAAGTGCAAAGTACTTCTACAAGACTGGCAGGATTCTAATCCTGTACTCACCATAGATGGTGAGCAGATAGAAGTAGTCGGGAAGTTCGTGTATCTAGGTAGCTACATAAGTGCTGGTGGTGGCATGAGTGATGAGATCGATTCACACATAATGAAAGCCAGAGAGGCTTATGCCAATCTGGACCACCTTTGGCGCCTTCGTGATGTCAGTCTGGCTGTAAACATTGATTATCTGACTTACGGTATCACAAATAAGAAATCAAAATATCCACATGACCAAGACATAAGTGATACGAAATTGAGTAATAGACCCATAATTAGTAAACAACATTTTAGGGACGGTATATATATAACGGTATTCCGTAAAATAGTCCCGAATGTTCCAGCTCTCCTAATTACTAACCATAATCTACCAAAATTAGTTCTTTACAACTTTTTTCGGTAAATTGTGCTCAACTATTCGTTTTTTCATTTTGTTCCTCAAGAAATAGTACTAAAGAAAGTGGGATATACATTAAATCTGTATGGAAATGATTAAACTTTCATTATCGATTATCTAAGAAGATACGAATGGCTTCCTCAGTTGAGTCGAATTTTTATAAACTCTTTAAAAAAACACTGAATCATATAATATGCATTTTAAGTAAGAACATAAATGCCAAGCACAAATGTGGAACTAAATAAATGAAGGGAATATAAAGTATTGGTATATTTCTAATTTTAGTTAAATTGCAACATGATATGATCTTCACTCCATCTTATTAGTAAATAACTATTTGAATTTTGACTTGGTTGATGAAAATTCGCTGCAAGCAATTGGTTTCATGAACTTTCATTGAATAATGGCTGAAAGCTGGGAGTATTTTGTTGGATGTTTCGTTTCAGATTAAGATTTCGTAAAATTTCCAAAAGTCGATAAAGTAAAAATGGGAATACTAAAGTAACATGGGTTGGTGAGGCTACAATTTATGGACGACCTTTGAACGACGCTAAAGTGACTTTGAGAATGTTCGCCTACTGACTAGAGTTAAATGAGGGTTATAAAGCTGTGTGAAGGATAAGGATTATGACTTACAGTTGATGGTTAGGAATTAGATCAAGTTTTCATCACGAACTGACATCAGCTAAAATGCCAAAACGTTATTAAGTCAAATGGATGAATGAATTTCGCGTCAAAATCAAAAACCTGTTATCCTAAATCTAATTGGTTCGTCCATAAATTATAGTCTCACCACATGGGCTTATTGCTCAATTTATGATTTGATATAAGATTCAATAATATTAAATCCTTAAAAGTAAAATGTGTACAATCGACAAAGTAAACGACTATAACTAGTATAAGGGTTGTGGAGATTATTAAGTTTTTGATTGAGATCATGAACTGATTGATGTTAGACCACCTTTGGAAACCTGGAAGCACAGTAATTTAGAACTTAGACACTATTACAAATAATTAAAATGTGAGATAAAACAATTGTTTTTTTTTGTATGTAGATAATTCATATGATTAAAACTGTCAATACAAAAATACAATATATATTGTACCTGTTTCAATCATCCACTGACAAGGACTACAAGAACCATAATGACAAGTTAATAAACATGTATGAAAACCAGTTGCACAATTAGATGAAAGCTGACGTTCACATATTTGACCACAAGGTTGAAGATTAGGATCACCACAAGTAGCAGGACGTTGAGATTTTCCACATGGGCAACTCAAAGTGATAGTTGCTAAACATGGAGGGCATGGACCTGGATGACAAAGTCTATAAGAACAAAAATAGACTATAATGAAATTTTATTGTTGACAATAATTCATTGATAAAAAATGTTTGGTTTATATCTGCAAGCAATTAAAAACAATTAGCCGATAAATTGATGAAAAACTCTCGATATACAAAATGGAGATCAATAATTAAATGCATTTTTCACATCATAGGAAGGAAAGTAATGTATAATTGAGAATATAGTTAAAATGTGACAGTCATTTAATCAAGGTAACATCTGAACTGTGATAATGTCTACTTTCTTGTACACTACACTAAATAAAAATTAGAGTCGATAGAGGTGAATATAATTTATTTACAAATTTGATTCCATGTGAACTAATTTTGCTTAATTGTGAATATTTATTTTGGTAAGTGAAATGGGAGAAAAATACACTGCTATTAAAATGCAACAGAAATATGAGGTTCTAACTATGACTGTTGGAAAATCATGTATATTGAGTAACTTATATCTGGTTCCAAGTTTCTGTCTATTATTACCATACTTCGACAGCTATACCACAGTGGTATCAGTAATGAATATTTTCTGCTTGATTTTTAACTGAACCTTTTACCAAATAAAGAATATCGAACTATCAACATTCTTTCGAAAAAAGTTCGGTGTCAGTAATAGTTTGTGTACGTCGGTAAGAGCTCGTGTGTTGGTGTTTATGAAATGTTCAAGATCAGTGACTGAAAATTTTATTTTAATGTTGCTCAACGTCGATCAAAATGTTGCGTGTGAAATACATAGGCGTATAATTTATTATTCTTGGCCGTATAACAAACCATAAATCCATTATCCCCCCACACACACACACGCACACACAAGCGATAGACCACACAAACCCCAACGTTCCCAAACTTCATTCAAAACACATAAAAACAAGATGTGGTCAAAACTACTTTTTGCTCCTAAATTAAGTAGGCATACAATTTAAATCCATGACCACAAATAATATATAACAAAGTGTACATAACCGGAAAATTTTGAATATAAAGCCAAGCGACAGATTTAAGATTAATTGTCTATAATTTATGAACAGTAAAATGTGACAAAAATTATTACGTCAGACGATAGCTTACAGTGATATATATATATATATATATATATATATATATATATATATATACTATAAAACGATAACTGTTTGGTAAAAGCTCGTCAAAAAAATACACACTAACTCACCAGTTAATAACTACTCAAGTTTCTTATTCTTCCTTTGTCACCTCTCAAGACTAATGTTTTACGACTGTTTCTTTTCTATCTTAATCCACTTTATCTTACTACAACACATTTGTTTTGGGATTTTTCCCCTATAACTTCAAAAATCTAACTGTTCATATTTTTAGCCAAATCGAAGTTAAAAAGAAATACGCTTACAAAGCGATGATGTTTAATTAACCAAAATTACTTGATCTTGAATGTTACAAAACATAAGTTTGAATATCTTTAAACTCACTCTGTGCAAAGATGGGTGCACTGATAATCAGACAAATTGGATGCAAAAGTTATACGTTTCACTTTACTGCAAACCTGGTCACAACCATGTGGTATTGTAAAACGAGCAGGGTGAAATTCAGGATTTTCAGTGCGTCCACAAAAGCATCGGTAAGAAATTAGTTGGGGAGACATATCATAATTTGTTTGACAAGATGGACAGCGCCAAACGGAAGATGAACCAGACTCGATGTTAGGTTCCTGGAATGATTTTTTGGCCCAAGACCTGATACATGATAGGTGGTAAATGTGATAACACGTAGCACATGACCAAATTCGGTCAGTAACACGAATTTCTGAAATGCATATCATACACTGATATGTGCTATTGCGCAATTCATCGATAAGGTTACCTGACCAATAGATATAAATATCGCCATAAAATGTAAACACTCAAAAGTAGAAGGAAACAACGTAAGTGATAACTACGTAAAACATATGTCTAGTTAACTTCCAATGACTGAAAACAAGATCAATCAACAAAATAAACACGAGAAATTTGCAGGAAACACTTCGTTCATATCAATTGTTTAAGTGAACACATCACAAAATGTTGAAATCCTACCAAAATAAGAGGTATGCTTTGGCCAGTTATGAATATACATGAGGTACTCTTTTCAAACTGTACGCTTATGAGTAAAAGGCAGTATCGTTTATTATCATTCAACGTACGCACACTGGAGCTTACTAAATTGATGTATGCAATGTCAGTGAGTCGATCTATTATTAACAATCACAATTAGGGATGGACGTATACGTATAATAAGTGGTCATTATTTATATATACGCGACTGCTAATAGTTGTTAAATTATGAAGGATGGAATAGCGTATAAATCAATAGTGCTTAAATAAAGGTATTCATAGGGTGGTTTAAAAAGTTGACTTTTAAGTCTAACCTTGAATTAGGAATGTCTTGATTTCTATATAAAAACAGATAGAAATTACTATCCTGGAACAGGAATAATTAGAAAGACTAACTACTATAATAATTCCTAGTCCTAAAATTTAGTCTGATGCTGTTCTTGAAACACTTTATTCAATAACGTTTTATTTTTTGTTAACGTAAAAAGACCGAGGGAGGAAAGTTACATTTGTGAATGTATGAAATTTATAAGTATTTGATTAAATCATATTAAGGCACTTTGAAGAGTATGTGACCACATAGCTTTCCTTGTACTAGAAAGAATTTTAGTCAGTTATACACAGCATTAAACCTGGTGAAAGTGTTTATCGGTTCAAGTTACCGCAACTAATATGAGAATATTTCTACAGAAATCAAAAAGACAAAACGCAAAGAAATCGGAATGACGCTGGTATAAAACTAAACACTGAAAATATCGCGCAAAAAAAGAGAATAAAATAGAGGGATGAGTAGAATATAACACCAGTGTTCAACACCTAAATGAAGATAGAGTGAATAAATATGCTACACTAAAACGCCCTTTGAGCTATATAATATAGTGATAAACTATAAAGCAGTGTTCGTTTTCCAACCCGTTTTACTCAAGTCGACGATTTCATATACTGATACTACATTTTGGTTTTAAATCCATATGTAATTTAAAACCGAAACAGATAAATAACCCGCAACATTTCTCCGTCCTGTAAATGAACAATTATAAAAAGGAATAAAAAAGGCAATCCCTAAATATATCTTTTGACTGTTTCTGATTTAATTATTCCTTTGTTTATTATTTGTTTCGTGGCTTATTTCTTCGGAATCAGTTTTATCACTTTTTATGATATATCTCTTGATGCCAATAATGTATCATATTTATATTTATAAAGAAGCTGCAAAACACTGACTCACTTCTCAAATTATCATGATTATTAGGTTTACAATCTACTTTTAAGTTAGCTGTTGGTTGTTGCCGAACAGACAAGGAAGTATCACTTTCTGAAGAACCAGCTTGAACTAAGTTGGTGGACTCAACCGAATAGTTTGGATTGGTTGAAGACTTAGAGGTTGGTAGCGTCCGAATAATTTGATGGCCACCAAATACATGTCCGGGATACGGAAAACCTCTTCTGTGGCCAGAGTTTCTTGAAGGATGGCGTAAAAAGTCACTGACAGTCATCCAGGGATTATTTCTCCTATACGGGTAGCAAAGGCTGTCACATGGTCTATAATGGTTATGATGTCCAGATCCACTGTTAAAATTATCTGTTATTGAACTTGGACACCAGTAGGTATGTGCTGATGTTACTGGACGAGAAGAGGCACGATGAGTGGTTCCATTTGCTTGACGTATATTTCTATTGCCTCTACATAGACGTGGGTTATTTCTGGCATCGGGATACATTCTGACAACCGATGTTGAGAGATCCAAGCAAAAGTTTGTCACTTAATGAGGATTAATGAAACTTTATGAGAAGCATTTCAAAACAGAAAATGTATGTTTTAAACACGCGAAATCTGTACTCAACTTTACCTATTTCAAATTTGATAGACATGTGACTCGCATAAGCAACTACTTAAAGTTTTAGCGACGCTATGGGTGCATGGTAATATCAGAAATATAACATTAATTTTCAAACGTTACTCTGCAACTCCTGCTCAGTACGAGCACAACAGAATAGTAGTGAACAAGGTAAAGAGTACAAAATGTAACAAAATGCACGTGTAGTCTTTGTCATAACACAGAACTGCGAACGCATAAGACATATAGTTCCTAAATTTAAATATCATTCCGACTTCCAGAAGAATTCGCGAATCCCGTGTCTTTTGCACTCAACAGAGAATTAATCGTTCACATGAGCCAGCTTACAAATATCATGAGTTCAGTCGACTGTGCTTCAACCATCAGATTTCCTTATCCAACTTACTTTGTAGTACAGCATACATGTCACTTTAGGTTGAGCTCGTAACCGTGCTCATTAAGAAACCTACAAGGCTCAAAACTGAGTCGAAGTACTAAACTATCAAAACAAATGACAAAAATGTCAAGATTTGTTAACTGAGTAATGTATTTGGGAGATTCTCCCAAATACACGTGTAACGGCAAAACCAACTGAGTTATATAATTCAGTTGGTTTTGCCGTTACACGAAATACTGATGATGTGACAGTATGTCCGGATTTTATCGAATGGATTTTGAATTGTATGTGGTGTATTCAAATATTACTGATACATATAACGTATGAATTGAAGTCAACCGATGTATGCAATAAAAACAGCTGACTAGTAACGCACGCTTTAAAACTGATCACATATCCAATATCCAATATCTTAATCACGAGCTTATATAAACCGACTAATTTCTTCGTCTTCACTTCTTATTTCTTCGGCACAGTTCCAGGTATCATTTGGATGCACTTGTAGTGACTCACGTTTATCACGAGAACACGACTGGTTTAATAAAAACGCTTATTATTATAACCAAGTGTACCAGTGACTGTTTTAATGTGCTTTTGTTTAACTGTGCTAATGACAACTATTTTGTGCTTCCATTCTTATACTTACACTTCGATTGTAACTTCGCGCGGATTCGGTTACGTTCTGTAACCAAGCTTGTATCCTGGCACGATCTCGGTATCCTTTCGATGCCACGAGATCGCCAGCAAACATAACTCGACTTGGTCCATTAATTGCCTTCTGGTATTCGGCTTGTCGGGGATTTTATGGAGTCATTTGGAACGAGCTTCTTACGCCTTTTGATCTAATTGGCACGTGTTTCTTGGTAGCGGTGTTCACAGTTAATCTCAACTCGACGCCACGCTACAATTGGTAATCCCAATTCGACTACACACTAATTCTAGTCAATTCGATTGTATTTTTCGATATGTGTATCATGTCATTTGAGTAAATGCATATGTCTCAGGGCAGTAGTTTTTCTGGATACCAGCAGTTATCACATTACCAGAGAGAAGGTTGGCCGGTTGCATCAGGAAACTTATTAAAGTGATAAGTCGAGTGCTAACGAAGGGTATTGCTTCCAGAATAGCAAACTATTTAATTAGTTAGTGACGTGTAAGAACAAGTAATTGAAAGAACGAGAGAGAAAACGGAGACGATAATAAGCGAAATAGAACTTAGTTACTGATATATAAGAGTAATAACAATAGTTATGTTGCGAGACATGGATCAGACATAGATGGTTCAAACGGAAGATGATAATCCGTGCGTGCGTACATGCTTGTCAAGTCTCCGCTTGAAGCTATCCACTGAGGGGACTACGGCCAGCTTAACTGGAAGAGCAGTCCAAACGAGATCGACTCCTAGTGAGAAGTGGTAGAATAGCTGATTCGTTGTCCTGTGTTGTTCAGTTTTTTGGGAGTTGCCCTGAAGATCGTGATGTTCTGGTAAGACGTTTGTGCTGAAGCCACCTGGCGTGGTTATCATATCACTTCGGATTCTCCGAGGGCTCAATAGTAGTAATCCTGCATATTGGAGTCTGACTTCATAATATTTATTCTTTAGCCCCGTCACCCACCTGGTGACTCGTCTCTGTCCTTTGTCCAATAGATTGATGTCTTTCGAAAAAGAGAGATTCTACTGCATTGTGCACTTTAAGCTCAGGATGTTAAAACTTATCAAACAGTCTTAGAAACAACCCTGAGCTGACTGAGCCAATTTTTTAGCCAAACGTAGCTGATTACTTTTTGGTTGCTTCCCCGATATAGTTTGAGCTGATGTCCAAGCTCACTTTGGTTACCAGTCCTAGATCGCCTTCCCAGGGAACATTTAGGTACTCATTTTCACAGCGGACAGAAGCTACTTACATTCCCGAGGGTTGGACGTTCACGACATGACACTTCCACGGGTGAAGTTTCAACCCATAGTCTGCTGATCATTCTCCCGATGTTATAGGATTCTACTGAAGCTCAAGTGAATCTTTTCCGCCGTTTATGAATATTCATATTTTCGCGTCAACATCGTAGTTTAGTGCCACTGGGCTTATTTTATCGAAAAGATCAATAATAAAAATCAGGAACAGGAGTCAAATTGAGATGGTCTACTGTAACACTCCTTATGTCGAAACCCTTCAACACGTATGCATTCTATTCACTTAAGTAAGAAGTATCTTGTTTGCCAGTTCGTTTCATAGTGAAGATAGAGGAAAGCCAGTCAAACTTATCTTACTTACTTACTCCTGTTACTCCTAATGGAGCATGGGCCACTGATCAGTATTGTCCAGCCCACTCTGTCCTGGGCCTTCTTTCCTAGTTCCATCCAATTCTTGTTCATTTTTCTCATGTCTATCTCCACTTCCCGGCGTAATGTGTTCTTTGTTCTTCCTCTTCCCCCTTGACCTTGAGGATTACAAGTGAGTGCTTGCCTTGTGCAGTAGTCTGCTCCTATCCACTTCCAGCTCTTCTTCTTGATTTCTTCCTCCACTGGAATTTGGTTTGTTCTCTCCCATAGTAGGTTGCTGCTATTAGTGTCCGGCCAACGGATCCGAAGTATTTTATGAAGATAACTATTAATAAACACTTATATCTTCTGGATGATGGCTTCCGTAGTTCTCCAGGTATCCGCCCCACATGGTAGAACTGTCTTGACATTTGTATTGAAAGTCCTAACCTTGGTGTTGGTTGATAGTTGTTTGGGGTTCCAGATGTTCTTAAATTGCAAATATCCTGCTCTTTCTTTACCGATCCGCGCTTTCAAATCTGCGTCAGACCCACCCTGTTCATCAATGATGCTGCCCAAATATGTAAAGGTTTTTACATCTTCCAAATCTTCTCCATCAATTGTGACTGGATTGGTGCATGCTGTGTTGTATCGGAGAATCTTGCTTTCCCTTTGTGTATATTGAGACTTACTGCTGCTACACTGGTCGTCTACTCCTGCATTTGTTGTTGCGTTCGCCACTGATGTATAGCAGTGTTTGTAAATGTTACTTGTGACTGAGTGTGGAAAAATATGCACACAATTTACTGAATATTAAGCACCCAATTTCTTCCCTGGCTCGATTTCTACTGCAGACCCAGTGAGAGGGACTCCCTGTGATTGCAAAGAATCAATCACTGTCTTTCGTCACCCTGGTTTACTGTTTTGGTCATGAATCAGGTATCAGATATAAGCTGACTTACTCTCTACATAGTGTACCGCTCGACTATTCAACCTAAACTCGGTCACCTGGCCTCGTCCTATTATCGTATTGTCGCACCAGCGTAGGGCAAAAGTGGCAGGTGTTTTAATCCATTCGTTTTATTGCTCATGCTACGAGATTAAACGTGCAGGACCTTCCTTACCTAAACCCGTGTTAGACCCCGTGGATGACGTTATTCTTTTTCATGTGGTCCTTCATTTAGTCATTGACAAGTCCTGTTATCTTTGATAGTATTATGAGTAACATGGCTGACCTGTAGCAGGCTGGATCTTTCCTACTTACTCCTTTAAAAATCGACAAGAGTGAAATATTTCCTTTCCTTTTGGAATTGCTGTGTAATGTCGGTTATTATGTTAAGCCCATATACTTTATTTTGGCTTTCGCGCAGTCCAGTCTACTCATTCAACTTGAGTCATGTTTTCGCCATGTTAATTATCCGCTTATCAATCTTTACTGTTTTTATATGATCGCATAGGTGTGTGCCCTTCTTATCCTGTTCATCACATATCTGTAACTTATTTTCGTGTGATTAAATACTGATTAATGTTTGACCAAATGGAGTTGGCTTTCTCGCCATCTCCACTGCGCGTCGTTTCGCTTCGCTCTGTTCCATTCGCTTCATATACAAAATAATTGTATTCAAAAATCCATTCTCGTTATTTGGTTTATTTAATTCCGTTATTGACCAACGCGATTTAAGCCGATGGTTATATACGAGGATAGGCTACATACATATTTCAATAACAATCATTCATACGATCTAATTGGAGTTAGATCTCGGGTCACTAAAGTGGGGAGCCCGTCAGGAAACATAGTCCGATCTAAATGGCGAAAAAATATGGGGCCCCACATCTGTCGCTCCGCTGATTTCCTGAACAGACCATGTACCGATATACTGACTACTCTCTTGCAGTGGTGTGGCGTTGCAGTTCTGAAGTAGCAGGTACTGTATATCGACACTCCACTTCTCGATTTGTGTATCGCGTCTCACCGAGAATGTTTTATGGCTTGCATGCTCGCTTCGTCGTCCGTGATGTCTGGTGAGAGCCATATTTCAGTCAGAACTATAGTCTTCAAGCTCCACTGGATGCATATGTTTCTAGAGCCTATTAGTTTACTCCCTAGCCAATTTACGTTGGTGGGGAGACACTTGATGGTTTACTTAACCACATAATGCTCCTCTACAGTAGTATCTGTTTTGTTGTCTAGACCTACTGAACCCAGCAGTCATTCAGAGTTGTGAAATGACAAACATATCAAGGAAATGAGGGGATACCTGTACGAATGACCATTTCAATTCACTAAAAATTACACTGAAGACTTTGACACCCTAAAACTTGACAGAGACGTCGAGCAAGTGTCTTGCTTATTAACATCATTATAGATATTAGCAGCCATATCTTTTCGATTGTTGGTAATGAAATAGTTTCATCTTATACACTTATGTACCACGTATCGCCTCCTGTAAAAAACTGTATTGCGTAAGTCTTCATTATTTTAATTTTCTCGTGACGTGGTTCGTATGGAGGCAAGTACGTTCAGGCTTCCATACACTGAGGATCCGGGAATATAGGAGTTCCAAAGATAGTGGTGCTCACAGTGCTTATGTTACCAAAAGAAGTGCACCAAATATTACAGTGATCCAGTTAATCCATACAAGGTCTTTGCTTGACGACTCGGGGAGTAGGAACGACCGGTTATGTTGCACAAGACATCCTAGCCACATGCATTTTGTAGAAATTGCTGAAACGGTTTGATACAGTTTATGCAACTGGCTCGATTGGCTTTGGTATACTTGAAAAATGTCAGTACCCTACATTCCGAACGATCATACAAACATTTGATGCAATTAGTTCCCTTTATGAATTTGAATGAAGCAAGAACAAATACTGATGCAGAATAGTATGAATCCATAATATTTCGAGGTTTCTCATCAGCTGCTTACAACCAAATATGTAATAGAATTTTATATTGAGATAAGAACTAGTGTAAAACAATTGACATAAATGAATGTGAATGATTAGAACGACAAAGGTTTACAATAATAACTATATATACATGTAAGAAAAAGTCAGAGGCTAATTAGTGTTAGAATTAAGAAAACAATTAAAGATGGACGGTGTAATGGTTTAATAGAGTTATATATTT